GAACTCAGGACCTTGTGCTTGCAAGGCAGGTGGCAGCACCACTGAGCTAAATCCCCAGCCCCCTTTTCTATTTTTTACTTCTTTTTTTTTTTGGTACTGGGGATCAAACTCCGCTCCTTGCGCTTGCAAGGCAGGTGGTGGAAGCACTGAGCTAAATCCCCGGCCCCCCCCTTTCTATTTTTTTGAGACAAGGTTTTATTATGTTGCTTTGTTGCCCAAGCTGGCTCAAACTTGCTATCATCTGCCTCTCCAAGTGCTAGGATTATAGTTGTGCGCCACCACACCCAGGTAGGTGTCTTAGTTACTTTTCTGGTTGCTGAGACAAAATACCCAACCCCCAAAGTTAAAAGGGGAAAGGTTTAGTTAGCTCACAATTTGTATTGGCATTGGTCCATAATAGGCTGGCCCCAAGGCAGGATGGCACATGACAGAGGCACAAGTCATGGCAGACTGGAGGTAGCAAAGCAACAAGGGACCTTCAAACAGCATCTTTCTGCCCATTTTATCCAGACTACCCGGATTAGGGCGGTGCCAAACCAATCAGTGGACTGATGCAGCAATCACACACCCTTAATCCCAGCTTCACACACTAGATTCAGCCTTTCTAAAAAAGCCCTGTCATTCCATGAGGCTTTGAGGGGACATCTAGACACAAACCCTAATAGTAGATCTCCACTATTTAGACCTCAACCCTAAAATTAGGCCCTATCTTCATAGTCACATTGGAGTATAGACTCAATATGTAAATTTTAGGAGTCACCAGCTCAGGGCATTTATGTATACATTACCCTATTACTAACTAAAAGTAAAAGCAAATTTTTCTTCAAAGTTCTATTGAAATACAGTCACCTTATTTTTGGTACCAGGGATTGAACTCGGGACCTTGTCAATGCAGGCATCGGCACCACTGAACTAAATCCCCAGCCCAAGATACAGTCACCATTCTCTTGATATCCTTGTTTGCTATAGGTTTTAAAAAAATTACTGAATTTTATTTTATCCCATTCCCCCCTTAAGCCCCCTCCCTACAGGCTTTTTTAAAATACCCAATTTTGATATAATGTTCCCAAATACAATTTATGAGGCTTAATTCCTCTTGGATTTAGTTGCTTTTTCTGCATCCTTTATCTTTTTTTTTCTTTTTTTTTTTGAGACAAGATCTCACTATGTAGTTCTGTCCAAACTTGAACTCACTGTAGTTCAGGCTGGCCTTGAACTTGCAGCAATCCTCCTGCCTCAGTCTCTCTCAAGTGCTGGGATTATAGATGTGCACCTTCACACCAGGCCCTTTATCATAATCATACTCATTCACTCTAACTAAACTACCTAGAATTGCAACTGGCCCATAATACATAATAAATATTTGAATATATGCATGAATGAAAAGACTTAAATGTGGTCATTATTGATTTTCTTTATTTTCTAATGTTAACCATGAGTTCCTAGATAAATTCAGCTTGGACACTGTAGACCATCTTTATTAGTTGATTATGTTTACTAATGTGTTATAAAAGCCTTTTGTAGATGTTTGAGTAACATTGGCAAGTAAAACAAAAATTAAAAACAAAAAAAGCCATTGAGTATACACCTGCAATCCCAAGTACTCTGAGAGGCTGTGGGAAAAGGATTGCAAGTTCAAGCCTAGGCTGGGAAATTTAGTGACTTAACAAGTCCTTGTCTCAACATAAAAAAGTTTTTAAAAAGGGCTGGTGGTGTAGCTTAGTATGAAAGCCACCAAAAAAATAGGGAGGGGCTAGGGGTATAGCTCCATGGTAGTGCATTTGCCTAGCATACAAGAGGTCTTGGGTTCTGTCTCCAGCAGGGCCCGGCCCCCCAAAGATGTATGGATATAGCTCAGAGGTAGAATGCACATGTGCAAGGCCCTGAGTTCAGGCACCAGCACCATCAAAATTTTAAAAATGAACTTTTTGACAGTATCATATAGTGCACAGGGTTGTTTCCCCATCTGTCCTAAATTTGTAACTTGTTCATATTAAGTTAGCCAGATTTAGAATAACTAATTATCTTCTTAGGTATCCCATTTCTGTGATTTTAAGTTCAATTTCTTTTATGGTTATAGAAAAACTTAGGTTTCTAAAATTGTAAAGCATTTTGAGTATATTTTTCTAGGCATACTAATGTATGCAGCAAAAATTTATATATTTTTAGTTATATTTTTAACATTGCTGGTTGTATAATTTTAGGCCTTTTTTGCATTCTGGAACAATTACTTTGTGCATTCTTTCTCTTCTGTTTGTCTTGACTGAAAGTATTCAGTTTTGTGATTTTTTTTCTTTCCTTTTTTTTTGATTGCTGTGTGGGGAGCGAACCCAGTGCCTTTGTGTAGTGAGTAAGTGCTGTACCACTGAGTTGTTTTATAAGCCAAGTTTGTGATTTTCTTGTGATCTTCTCGAAAACTAACCTTTCTGTTGGGGATGTCGTTAGTGGTGGAGTGCTTCCCTAGCATGCACAAGGCCCTGGATTCAATCCCTAGTACTGGAAAAAAAAAAAAAGGCAAAGAAAAATTTAATCTTTTTATTATGTTTCTATACCATTAATTGTTAGGTATTTGTATGGCCATATTGGATTGGTTTTATTTTCTTATTCTTTGTTTTGGGTGATGGGGTTAAACCAAGGACTGGGGTGTACTAAGCATTTGCTCTTCCACTGCGCTATCCTTGATGCCCAGATGTGTCTTTTTGTACATATTTTAGCTAGAGATTAAAAATATCTGAGTACTCGAAAACTTTGGACTAACAATTTTCTTTTATCTGGAACATTTAGTCCATTTTATGTAATGTAGTTAGTAATAAATTTGGAATCATCTCTGATACCTTGTTTGTCTCATTGTGGTTGCTCTTCTCTCGATTATATTTCATTGGAATGATTTAATCTTGATGCTTGAAATTTACATATTCCATTACTTTTTAGTTGCTATCCTAAAACTTTCAATTCATTTTTTGAATTTAAGACTTTAATAATGCCGTTTCTTTCCACCCAAGAGTACTATTTGCATACAGTGTCTCCTACCATTCACCTTCTGAGCCTTATTTAAGAGAAATCTTCAAGTAAGTGCATTAGGTGGGGAATCAAGATCAAGCCCCTTGACAAAGCCTAGCACATCTTGTAATGGATTACAAACAGACACAACGTTTTGAAGTTACTCACAAAATGATGAAGTCTGTTTCCCGTTTTATGTGAGTTGGTGTTAAGACTCACTTAGACCAAGAGAAATCAGCAGAGCTGAGCTGTACCACCTTCATCCGCAGAAGGCTTTTGATAACTTGAGTTCAGCTAGTAGATTATTGGGTGATTTGTTACATGTAAAAGCAAACCGGTAACACATACTCCTTGCGCACATCTGGTAAAGGGGTCCCTCACTATGTATACGGGGAGCCTGCAGAACTACTCTTTTGGCAGGAGGGAAGAATTCTGTCAGAGCTATTGAGGCTGTAACCTGAGACGAGAAAAGAAAATCAAGACTTCAGTTCGTCTTCCTCTGCTTAAGGGCCCAGGGCACTCAGCAGATACAGGGGGCTAGAGAAACAGTTCACAGAAAAGGTGCAAGTAGGTTGCTAATAAGAGAATCCTAAGCCCCAACAAACAGACTTCATTGATTGCCAAAAGCATTGTTAGAACTCTCCAGCCTCTCAGATCCTTTCTGTTGGCAGGTGAACCTGCTAGGATAGGCAGAGGCAGGATGGGTGTTTTTCGGAAGTATCCAGAATGGTTGTAATTAACCAAAAACCCTGAGTCTGGACTCCGATCCGCCAGGAGCTCCGCCAGCCTCAGTTTTGGCCTCTGCCCTTTTCGTCCACCTGCCCCTGCTCCAAGCCCTTGGAAGAACCCAGCAGCACTCCCGCGGGCGGAAACCAGGTTCCCTACCAGGAACTCCAAGCGCCGCCGCCCGGGCCACCCCAGCCACCTCTGCCTCCCCGGCTCCCTGGCCGCAGAGCGCCCCGGCCCGCCCCGCGCCGGCCCGCCCCGCGCCGGCCCAGCCGCGAGCGGAAGTGACGTCGGCGGCCGGCGCTCTCTTCCGGTCCTGCCTCGGCGAGCCTGAGACTTGTTACCTTCCGAGTCGTGCGGGCCACTCCGGCTTTTGTGAGTTCCGCGGCCTGGGGACGGCCTGGGGGCAGAGGGGATGTGAAAGGGCGTGTTTGGCCCGGGGCGCCTCCGCGGCTCCAGGGAGCGACCTGGCGGGCTGGGCTGGGTTGGCCGGTGCCGCGGGTCCTGTGGGCTCGGGTGGCTGGAGAGGCCGCGGGCGTCGGTGCGGGGAGGAGCGGGGCTTGGGGTGCGGTGGGCTCGGCCTGGGGTTACTGCACCCGCTGTTTCCCCTCTCATAAGCTGCCAAAGGTCGGGCCTGGTGGCCTAGCCCTCGTCTCAAAACAAAATAAAAGTAAAAGCAACCTTTGTGGATTTTTATTTTCAGAAGGAATCCAGTTCCGCTGTTGGAGCACAGACCTGGCGATTCCAGCGCGTTTTCGAGAGCACTTAGTTTTTAGGTGGTTGGAAACAGCCGGGTTTTTTGTTTTGTTTTGTTTTTGAAACGGATGCTTCATCTGAGAATTTGCTGTTGTCTTGTTAGGTTGTGTTTTATTTTGACCATTACTTTCAGATAGAAAAGGAGACTTACAGGTATTGGATGTGCATCTTTCTGTATGAGAATATAAACATTTGTAGACTACAAGGCTTTTGTTTTTTTGAGACAGGGTCCTGGTATGTAGTACAGGCTGGCCTTGAACTCACTGCCTCAGCCTTCCACGTGCTGTAGACCCGCAAGTCTTGACCAAAGAAAACTAAAGACTACTCAACTCTTTTCTCCATATACAGTTCCACTGCCATTACATTCCTACAGAATTTAGAAACAGAGGTCTTGGGAAGAAAGGATGGAGGCTTTACCAGTCCAGTGCGAAAATCATAAGTTTAATCATTAGCAGAATGGATACTTGATTTAAGTGTATACTTTTTCTCATATTTCTCTTTTGAAAAATCTTAAACGTACTGGTAATTTAAACATCCAATATCCATTGTGATAGATTCACTTTTTAGTAACAGATACTCTCATCCCAAATAAATGCATTGTACTATGAATTATTTGTCATTACATAAATTGAAAATAAGGAGTAGAAATGATACTTGACCCTTAATTACTTAGCAATATGAGCCCTAAAGATAAGGACACTGTTTTTCTAAAATCAAAATATTTCAGTCAAGAAAATTAAAAAATATGCCACTTGGGGCCACCACTCCTACCCGGCAAGCTCAAGGTCCTGAATTTGATCCTGGGTACCAAGGGAAAAAAAAGAAGCCAGGTGTGGTGGCGAAGGGCTGTAATCCCAGCATGAGGGAGGCTGAGGTAGGAGGATCACTGCAAGTCTGAGGCCAGCATGGGCTACATAGTGAGACTCTGTTTTTTTTTTTTTTTTAAAAATTAAAAGCAGTTAACATGAAATGTTTACTCTAAAAACACAGTTCTCCACATTGCACCAAAATGGACTTTGAGCACGGACACTTATATACAGGACTGTAGTAAATGAGGCCAAGGCCATGCCCCCCCCCCCCCTTTTTTTGGTAGCAGGGGTTGAACTTGGGACCTTGCACTTTCTAGGCAGGCGGTGGAACTACTGACCTAAATCCCCGGCCCTGGCCTTTTAATATATGTGCCACAGTTTTTCATCATCAGTACCCAGTCAATAGACTTCAAAAAAATATTTGCAAAGTAATTTGTAGGTGATGTGTATTTCTAATTGTATCTTATTAGGAAGGCATTTATTTATATGGCCTTTTGTTTAGTCATGCTATTTTTTGTTTGTTTGAGACAGGGTGTTGATACGTAGTTCAGGCTTGCCTTGAACTCACTATGTGGCCCAGGCTGGCTTCCAACTCACTGTGATCCTCGTGCCTTAGCCTTTCAGATGCCTGGACCATACTGCCAGTCATGTTAATTTTGACAGTTGCTCAAAGCAGTAATTATCACAGCACTCTATTTTATTTCTTTTCTTTTCCCTCCTCCTCTTCTCCTACCTCATCTTCCCCCTTCCCTTTTCCTTTTTTGTGGTCCTGGGGGTGGAACCCTCAGCCTTTGCATATGCTCAACAAATGCTCTACCACCGAGTTAACCCCAACCCTTTTCTCCCCCCAGACAGGATCTCACTAAGTTGTCCAGGCAGTTCCTGTTTTTTTTGGTACCGGGGATTGAACTCTGGTCCTTGTGCTTGCGCAGCAGGCAGTGAAACCACTGAGCTAAATCCCTGGCCCTGTCCAGGCAGTTCTTGAACTTGTTATCCTTGTGAGGAGGAGCCTTATGAGTAGCTGGGATTACAAGCCTGTACCACTGTCTGGTTTTTACTCTGTTTTTTTAAAAAAAAACTTCTTTTGAATAAGGACATAACTTGTAGGTTGAGACGAGCAGGAGGAATATCTTGTCCCCAGTACTCATTCTACCCAGTTTAAAAAATTGGGGGGGGGGGCTGGGGATTTTAGCTCAGTGGTTTCACAGCCTGCTGCGCATGTGCAAGGACCTGAGTTCGATCCCTGGTACAACTAGGGATCGAACTCAGGACCTTGCCCTTGTGAGGCAGGCATGGTGCCATTGAGCTAAATCCCCAGCCCCTTCTACCCAGTTTTTTGAGCATCCATGAGTAATGTGTAGTGAATAAACTTACCTGTATGTTTTTTCGAAGTTGTGGAAGTGTTTTCAGAGGAGGATTTTCAGGGTGTGTGTTCTAGGTCAGAGGGCAAATGTATGTTTAATTTTTGCTGTACATTAAATTTTTTCTTTTCCTCAGGTCTTATACCCATATAGCAGTTTCTGAATCAACATTTTTTAAAAACCTTGTTTAGAAATTCATCAGGAGAAAAATAAGGAAAAGGCTTTATTCTAACTACAAGTCACTTGTTTTGAAAAGGAAAATCAATATCTTGACCATATCCATGGTGAATAACAGTACTCAAATATATTTCCAGAAATACTATTTTGGGGTATGCTGTACTTGGGCAGATATTTTATGAGTCTTATTTAATTTTTGCTTTGTAGTTGTTTCTGCATGCCTTGTATTTTGCTGTGCCATACTTGCAACATTTTTATAGGGAAAGTTTATTTCCTGACAATCCACAGACAAATCAGATTCCTTTAATTTAGTGACTTACTGGTAGTGCTCTTATAGGGTCATGGGAGCAGTGATTATTTATTTAAATAGGCATAGTGGAGCTGGGGGTGTAGCTCATTGGTAGTTTGCCTAGCATGTGGAAAGCCTTGTGTTCAATCCCACTGCAGATACAAAACGGAACAAGAAATAGACATAGTGCTCCCACCATGGGACATAATCTGTCTGGTAAAACAGGTTTTAAATACTGGCAAGTTTGTTTTATGAATTTAGGAATGCATGAATAAAGTGGAGGTGGATGCACATACCTGTAGTCCCGGGTATTCCATAAACTGAGACAGGAGGATTGCAAGTATGAGACCAGCCTGGGCAATTTAGCAAGACTGTGTTCCAAATAAAATTTAACAAAGAGCTTGGAATATAGCTCAGTGGTTAAGTGCTTGCCTAGCATGCCTGAAGCTGTGGGTTCAATTCCTAATACTTCTCATCTCCCTAAAAAAGAAGAATACATAAATAAGAGAAAATAGAGCATATTGTGAAGAATTTAAACCTAGAACAAAAGCATGAAATTTGACTAGTCAAGTCTGTGAGCTCGGGTGAGGTAGTCTAGAGTAGGTAGGAACATTTCAGCTGAGGATAACTCAGTGCATGTGAGATCTTAGTGTATTCTTTTTAATTTTGTTTTTTGTCTTTGAGACACATCTCCCTGTGTAGTCCAGGCTGGCCTCAAACTCTCAATCCTGCCTCAGCCCCTGAGTGCTGAATTAAAAGTGTGGGCCATCACATTCAGCTAAGACTTCAGAGTACTTGGACTGTGGAAAGAGATTGGCTGAGGCAGAGGAGAGGAACTGAATGATGGGAGTTAGACCGGAGAGAGGGATTATGGTCAGCAGAATGGCATGTTCCACCATTGTATTCTGAGGCCAGAGGAACCTTCTGAGATATTTAAAGCGGGAGAGTTGAATCTATTTCCAACTTAAAATGGAACCCACTAATTACAGTGTTAGTTTGATCTTCAGAAAAGATGACAGGGAAGGTGTGGACTCAAGGTAGCTCATAATGGTTACATTTGGCAGCTCTGTTGTGGTTGCCAAGACTTTGGTAATTATTATAGGATGCAAAGTACTGAGGTGCGTGTCTGTAATCCCAGCACTTCAGAGGCATGAGGTTTGGGAATTGAAGGCCAGTCAGGGCTGTATAATTTGACCCTATCTGATAGCTAGATAGGTAGGTAGGTAGGTAGATAGTTGGTTAGTTACAACAGCCCAAATGCTGAAATACTGTGGAATTCCCAAATTGTGGAATATTCACACCATTGGAATATGCTCCAGTGCATAAGGAATGAATCAGAAGTAGATGCAACATCACAGGTGAAACTCACTAACAATGTTGAATGAATAAAGCCAGATACAGAAGAATGCCTGGCCCTCCCCAAGGCAGGGGATATGGACCTCCTTAGAAAAAATGTGTATACTTGCTATCTGTTGTTTCTGAAGAAGTTACAATAAATATAGTGGCTTAAAACAATATATGCTTTTTTTTTCCTTTTTCTTTTTTTTAATGATGGGAATTGAACCTAGGACTTTGGCATGGTAAGCACACTTGACACTGAGCTACACTCCCAGCCCTACAACGTACACTTGTTATCTCATACTCTTATCGGTGCAGAGTCCAGATACACCTTAGGTGGATGTTCTGCTCACCAGGCTACAGTCAAGGCATTGCTTGGGCCACATTCTCATCTGGCTTTTCAGAGACACGTAACTAGAGAAAATACTATCTCTCCACTGGCAAAATGCATTTCCTTGGAGCTATAGGACTTGGTCCCTTGCAGCTGGATGCCCGCCCCAGCTCCTAGAGGCTTTCTGCAGTTCTTTCCACGTGGCAGACTCATTAGCTAGTCACAAGAATATCTGCACCTCAGGGAGGCCTGGATTCTCTTTTAAAAAGTTTCCACCAGCCTGGGGATCTAGCTCAGTGTTAGAGTCCTTGCCTAGTGTGCATAACGCCCTAGATTCAATCCCCGGCACTACACACAAATATATTTTCACCTGATCAGGTTAGGCCTGCCAGGATAATTTTTTTTTTGGTACTGGGGATTGAACTCAGGACCTTGCACTTGCAAGCAATTGATCTGAGACCTTATTTACACCTGCAGAACCATGTCACATTTGCCATATTCTCTTGTCTAGAGACAAATCAAAGGTCTTGCATAGAGTGGAAGGAACAGAACCACCCAGAGTGTGAACATGCAATGGTGGAGACCTCTGAGCTCACATTAGGGCGTCAGCCACATGGAGTTGCAGCTCACTGCATGGTGGGGCTGCTGCTGGGCTCCTCTGGGCCTCACCTGGTCTCTGGTCAGGAGTCCAGTGTGATGGACGCTCTAAGCCATCGTGTAGGGCAGCTCAGTGTGGGCTGCGCGCAGAGGGAGTTTGTGCAGCTGTTACCACAGAGCTTGTGCATCTGCCTCAAGAGGACTGTGACAGACACCCAGGGCACACAGGATCTGACGCCAGTGGGCCAGAT